CGACCAAGCGTCTCACCCTGATACGCCCCTGGACAACCCCCGTTTTCCGATGCCTCTCCCGTCTAATTCCAGTCCGACACCCTCGTCCTCGCTGCTGTAAACACATTTGCCACTTTCATCGAGGACCTCGTTGTGTCTGTTCCTTATGGGGACAAAGCATCGAAATAAAAGAACTTCAAGGTTTATGGGTTAAATCCGTAGGGGTTGATCGATCAAAGGTTAATTGAGAATTAATCGATTCAACAGCGAGCCAGATACAATTTTTCATTTTTAAGTTAAATGGACTGTATAACGTACACAAATTATTTTATTTGTTAGTTGGTAAATTTTTTTCCGTTACGTTTTGAACCCTTGTTTTCATCTCTGTATTTTCATTCGACATCATGTAGAAAGATCTTACGTAGTCTACCTTTTCAAATAGAAAGTCTAAGGTTTTAAAGTGTAAAGGATGTTTTAAAATTTGCTTATCATGAATATCTAAAACCGTGTTTCGCTACAGGCCACCGTCCTCGGGGGTAGGTTTTACCGTACCACCTGCCGGTAGCGAGCGCAACTAGGTGCGCCCATAAAAATCAATGAGTCTCGCAGGTGGATAAGCGTCTACCTTGCGGGTAAGTAATCACGGTTACCGAGCCTCGACGGTGAACTGTTCTCAACGGACATCTCCGCTCATCCGTATACCCTGGATAATCCGCGGCTCGAGTAAACTTTGAAAATATCGGATCAGCCCCACACAAATTCATTCACGCTTTCACGCTTCCCTTTTCACATTTTCTAAACAACTGCAATTGCAAGTACACCTTTTAACTTTTTACACGGTCATAAAGATGCCTAGCGGAATTATCGTGACATTAAATTTCAAATTTCTATTTGCTACTTTACAAAATTAATTTTACATTATATGTTTTAGTTTAAAAAATTATAACTGTCAGCTTTCTATTTGCATCATTTAAAAGCTGGTAATATCAGCGATGATTTGGAAGTATATTCGAGTTCGGCAACTTCAATGATTTCTCACGAGACGCTCGTTCCTTGAAGTATCATTGACGCATAGGCTCAGGTAGCGGGGAAACTGAACTAATACCCCATAATGCTGGAATAAGAAGTGGGACAGTTTTGAGAGGAGGGAAAAGGTGAAAAGAGATGGCACCATACACCGAGTGATCATAATGGCCAGTTTAGCTACTGGGCCTGCTAAGGAGCGTTTCCGGAAGATGGGCACGAACGACCATCACAATGGGAGTTCTCGTCGTGCAACGCGACAGATTGGGATCTCGCGCGAGTGACACCTTTCACAATGATGCGCCAACTCGGTGCTCGTTCGTGCGGCAAAGAGCATTTTTGCCAAACGTGAATGGAAACCTGTTAAAACTCGCAATATTTCCACGATTCTTACTTCAAAACCATCGAACTGCCCATTCTTGATCCATCGTGCGAGAGTTAAACACTTCGCACAAAATCTTGTGTGTCAATCGAACATTTTTCTCCGAGTGTTTCTTAACAATAAAAGTACCCCCTTCGTATTTGAATTACTCCGTCTTGAAAGTTTCATACAATGTTTTTAATCGATTACTATCAAAGAAATTGTGAATAAAGATTCATCTGTAGACGATTAATTATCTTCAATATGTGCAGGGAGGTTTTCGTCAACAGCCTAACTGGCAGTAAACGTCCCAGCAGGAATTTCTATCCGCTTTGTCGGCGAGCGTGGACATGTGCTAACAATTCGTAGGACAGATTTGTCTAGCCGTGGATCTCGTTCGCTCCCATAATCGTGTGGCAAAGGGCAGCGACAAACGTAGAGTTATAGTTCCGAGAGTTCTCCTGTTCGCAAAGGGAAGGCGCATTAACCGTCCGACATTTTTAAAATAGAACCACAAACGAACGTTCCGAGTCTCGCTTTTTTTCCGCAAAGTCCATTTCGAGTCATTATCGGTCGGAAAAGAATTAATTACGTGTGGCGCATTATCTTCGCACAATGGCGACGGACACTAGAGAAAATGGTTCAAAGGGAAACTCGAGAGCGTGTGCCGTGCAAAAGCAGACAGAGAGGAATGGAGAAAGCGAGAAAACCCCCGTCAGTCGACAGTCGACGCGCGAATAAATTATAATTGCATGATTCCTTGAGCCTGTTTAGCGGCGTAGCCGGCGCGAAATTGCTAAAATTGGCAGAAATTGCGCGACCATTTTAATTATATCCCCCACAACTTTTCACACGGATCTTTCTGCGCCGCACAACTTTCGTCGCTGCTTGGAAAATCGGCCGAAGTTCATGGACCGATGGCTACAATCATAATTGAGAGGCGAACGCGAAACAAGAAAATGGGAAAATCGTTTCGTAACTGAATCCTCGAGTGTCGATATTATTGAACCGACAACAAATTATTTTTGCAGAACTTGATAGCAAAAATTTACCATTACGTGTGAATGCAATAATTCCATTCGAGTGAACATAAGAAATGAGAGAGTGGGTCAGGAGGGCTAATTTGTCCGTTTGCGCGGGTCGAAAGCACGACAAGGGACGAGGAAAAGATCGGACAAGACGCATCCTCCGGGTTGATCTGTAGGACACGCGGTCGAGAGAATCCTCGTTTGCTCGGTATGGGGCCTGCGGGACAACCGAATCCTACAAAACGCGCGATCTCCTCTTTTCCTTTTGTAACCTCACACCTCCAACAAAAAGGAGCCGACGAAAGATCTTTCCACGTCGTTCGGGCTTTACCGAAAATACCCCACGAGAAAGGAGGCGGCCAGACAACGCGGCACAAGATCCTCGTGGATCCTCCTGAATGGACCCTCATAATCGGCGAGGTTCCGCGTCGTTTTCCACGTTTCCAGGGATCAGCCGAGAAGGGGAAACTGCTGGTCGACGATCGTGATCTTTGCCGTCCGATTCGACGTTTCAATCGAACGACACGTCACGTGGAACGTGTCCATTCACAAATTAAGATATCGTCCGTCGAGACTACCTGGATCCTGGGGATCCTTTCAAGAATACCTTCGTATACCGTGTCGTTGGCACGGTAACGTTCGAAAGCAATTTCAATTGTTTCAAAAAGACTGAAAACTTTTCGCGACGCATTGTCACCGCGATGAAATGTAACTCGCGTGGCGTGCAGCGCGTTAAGGATACATTCACGTTCGGAATTGAACTTTTCTTCGTCTGTTCCGATTATAGTAGCAAAACAAGGGATTAATGAACGAAAACGCAAAAATAAATGAGGGTTATTGTTCGCGTGTAACTTCCGCGCTGAACGACGAGAAGAGAGATGCTTGTTCGGGGTCGGTAACGAGGGACAAAAGTTATGAATAAAATGGATCGATAGCGTATGATAGTCTCGTGATGGCCGACGCAAAAATGCTTTTAGCCGACACAGCACGTCCTCCCCCCCTGGAAAACCCACCTAGCGACTTCCCTGATTCGTCAACTTCGTGACATCGCACGGAGCTCCAGATTTAAGCGTTTTCAATCGTTTTTCATAGCCAAAAATGCCGACACTTTGCCAAGCCTCTGAATCGTATTTTACTTCTAGGAACACAGGGATTTAGGGATGTGGGTATCGTTCTGTCCCACGCCTCGTTGCGACTGATACTTTACGACTCGAACACCAAACAGAGAAGTACGTATAATAAAAAAGCTACGTATTATAGCGAGAAAGGAGAGTTGACCATTGATACACAAAGTGTGTGTAACGGTGAATTTG